GTGGGCTGCTCAGAGTCTCTGGCTTTTAGTTCCTCATATGTCAGGCGTAGGAGGTGAGCACTCTCCCTCTTGGGGCTGCTGTGAGGCAGGAAGGAGACAATGCTGGGAAGACTTATCTGGATGACACAGTTAAGGAGTCATGATCCATGATGTCCCCGTGTGCCCCAGACATGCATACAAAACAATTTTAAAAAGTGAAAAAGAGTCATTTGAGAGTAAAATGTCTGCATCAGATCAACCAGAGGAGCAAAGGGCCACCATGGGCACCAAACCTGCACTGTCAGGGAACAGCAGATTCCCAAACTTATCAGGACAAGTTAAGTGTCCCTGACCTGAAAATCCAAAACATGACATTTTTTTGAGAATGAGAAACATTGGTGAGTAAGCAATGATGATAAGGACACATTTCATAAAGTTTCCATTTCTGTACCAAGTGGAGGGGGATCTATCACACGTATTCAGCATTTCCTTATGGCTTCCTCAAACTTGTTAAGCAGTAATGTTTCTCAATGAGAACAGGTTTTCTGATTTCATTCTCCCATGCTGGATGAGATTGTTGTATACTTCTAGAATTGAGTGCATCAGTTCCATTTAATTTCATACCAAGAGCAGTCTGGAGAGTCTTCTAGGACCAGTAGGGATCTTGCAAGGACATCTCCTATACTTCAGCAGGGCTCCCATCTGCTACAGATTTTGTTCTTTTATTTGAGTATTCAGTTTCCCCAAGTCAAGAAACCCCACTCCTACATGAACGTTAAATAGGAATTAAGCATGCATCAAAACCCATAATTTCCTTTTTTTTTGTTTTTGTTTTTTTGTACCGGGGATTGAACTCGGGTCTTTGTGCTTGTGAGGCAGGCGGCAGAACCACTGAGCTAAATCCCTGGCCCTAAACCCATAATTTCTTCATGGTTATTTATGAAATATCCAAATAATACTTCTAATCACAAAATAATAGAAAAATGTAAAAAATTACAAATAAGGTGATAGCTTTACAGGAAAGCTAGAACATTTTAATGTACTATGATCATATTAAAATAGATAAAGCTATAACATTATCACTCATGTGCCTTTATAAATGCACATTTAATGAAGATACTCATTAATTCTTTTGTTATCAAATAATTCTAATTTTTATTTTTTGGAAATTGCCTGATCATAGACTTTGACCTTTATTCAATGTATTAACCCTTTAGTTTTATATTCCTGAACTTTTCTTTATCACCAGAAACTGCATAACAGCACTTTTAATTGTGGTAAAAAAGCTTGTGACTTTTAATCTCATAACCAGTTTCTAAGTGTACATTACAGTATTGTTAAGTAGAGTTACATTGTTGTGCAGGACACTTTTAGATCTTATTCACTGTCTATAATTGAAACTCTACACTCAATAAAGAGCAAGTCTTATGCCCTTCACCCCAGGCCACAGAAACCACCCTATTACTCTCTGTTTTGATAAGTTCATTTATTTTAAGTGCCTCATATAAGTAAAATTGTGTGTATCTACCCTGTGATTGGCTTATTTTTTATTTTATTTTATTTTATTTTTGGTACCAGAGATCAAACTTGGCACCTTGCACCTGTGAGGTAGGCAACGGAACCACTGAGCTAAATCCCCCACCCGGTGATTGGCTTATTTTACTATGCATGGCCTGAAAATTCTACTTTTGGGTAACTCTCCACTAGAATGGAAATCAGGATCAAAGGCATCTGCTCTCCTATGTTCATTGCAGCACAATCCAAAATAGCTGAGATGTGGAAATGGCCTAAACATTATTGGTGAGATGAATGGATAAAATGAAGTGTTATATACATACCATGGAATAGCACTTTTTACAAAAAAGAAAACCCTATCTTTGTGACAATGTAAATGCACTTATTCTAAAAGAGCCATAGAATTTTGATTGGGCTAAGATGGAACGTCCCATATAACCACACGCCCTCATAGCCACACAGATTACAAATGAAAACCAGACAAGGGATCAAAAGTATACACTGTATTTCACAATACTAGGAAGAAAACAGTGGTAGGAAAGTGGGGACTAGAGTCCAAACTTGGACTTTAATGGGTTGTTACAGTATGTGGATGATGTCTTCCAGTTTTCCCTAGGGTTCTTCCAGTTTCCCCCAGGGGAAATTAATTCCAGCAGGCCCTGCAAGGAAGAATTCTGGGACTAAACCTTTGTATCTATCCAAACAAGTGAGACTTTCTGGAGTGGGAGGGTGCATTGGAGGATAAGAGGGGTCAACCCACTCCTGTTGGTTTTTTTCTTGCCAGTTACAGTTGTCCTGCAGCCTTGGGAGTGACAGAGGGACCTAAAACCCTGACAAATCACCTATATTTGCAAAGGAACAGGTAAAAAGATTTGTGTTTCCTGACAAGAGTGAGGGACATCTCCATTATATTTTTCTTTTCTCTGTTGCTGTATTGCTGAGAGTTGACCCAGTCATGTAGAAGTGGGACACCCCTAACACCAGAAGAATATAGGTAGAATTCTGAAGAGGAAAGAGCTGGAGAAAGTGATTACTTAAATCTGTGTAGGAGCCAATACAAGTCCTAGACTTACACTGATCTGCACATGCACAGAGCAAAAGCTCTGAGAAGTGACTGTGATGTAAATCATCACTAGTCTCACAGAGGAGCTGAGGGGCGGGAGAGCCCTGGGACACCATCACGTGGCAATGGCCTGGGCCCCGCAATGAGAGTGGAACAGCTGTGCACTGAAGGCAAAACGCCGAGAGTGGTCTGACCCTGCTGTGTTGACTGCTTAGCCAGACAACAGCAAAAAGGAAGAGGAGCACTCTCCTGAGGATTTTAATAGTAACCGGAGTCTTACAAAATAATCGGCAAACTGCCCAGGATATTACCCCAAATTACACAATAAAATTTGCACAAAATTAGGAAGAGCAGACCAATTCTCAAGGGAAAAGTCAAGAATACAGCACTGAAAAAGCCCACATTAAAAAAAAAAAATCATGGAAAGCGTCTATTATAACCATTCTCAGAGGAAGAAAGGCAAATACTCTTGAAATTAATGGAAAAAATAAGTTCTCATTAGAGAAACGCAAGAGTCAGAGAGCCTGTAAGTCAATAAAATGACAATCTGAAGAACAAAGAAAAAACAAAAAAATTAATAAATTCTCAGAGATGTGTAGCACAACATCAAAAATTTTAACTTCTGCTCTTAGGTGAAGCAGAAAAAAGGCATTGAAGAACAAAATATATAAGGAAAAGAATGGTGGAAAACTTCACAAATTTATGAAACACAGATCTAAAATATTCAGAAAATCTTACTATGACACATACTTAATTCAATAAACATCAAACATGAAGAAAATCCTTGAAAGCAGTTAGAGAAAATGACATGGTAAATATAAAGGAATATCAATGTGAAGGTATGTGACTTCTCCGCAGAAAATATACCAGTCAGAAATGATTGACAGAATACTTCTCAGTGCTTAAAAAAAAAAAAGCAACCTAGGATACTATATGGTGGCCAAGTATCCTTAAAGATTGAGGGCCAACACAAATAAATATAAAGATGGGTAAAAGTGAAAAAAAACTTACACTAGAAAGCATTGTAAAAAATATATGAAAGGAATTTCTTCAGGGTGAAGGTAAAAAAAATGAACAGGAAGGATGGAACTTCAGGAAAAGAAGAAGCAAACTTGAATGGTAAGTACTCGGATAAATGCCATAGATCATTTTTTTCCACTAAAGTTCTTCGATATGCATCATTCATTTAAATATGCAAATCATATCATTTTTATAAAGATAAAACACATGACATAGTAATTATGTAAAGACCAGTGGAAAAATCATCGATGTGTCTGCAAGGCTTCTGTATTTCACTTAGAGTCTAAATAAATGAAATCTAGATTGTAAAATATTAACCCTAACCGGACTGTGAAATGATTAGTCCACCTAGTATTATTCCCAGAACAACTAAAACACAATGAGAACCAACAGCAGACCCCAGGCGGTGCAAGCACTCCCTCTTGGGCTGCCTTCTCTAAGGTTCCCAGGATAAGGGCAGTAAAACCCACAAGTCCTCATCCGAAAGTGTTCATGTCCTGCAGGAGCTGCTCACGCAGGAATCCTGCTCCTGGCCAGTCCCCTGGTCAGGGACCTTTTGTGACAGCGTCTGACCACAGCACCAGGGACTGTCAACCAGACTAAGAGATTGCTGTAATAGCAACAGCACATTCACCTTTCTACCTATCTCCCTCCACCCCCAGGAGGAGGTCAGGAAACCTCACGGGGCCCAGGAGATGGATCTGCAGCTTCTTCGCATGTGATCCCTCGGGCTCTCCTCCAAGCATGTTGGGTACCTGCATTTTCCTTCCATGAGGGCCCTTCCTCACAGCTATGCTGGAGGTGCCCAGGCAGGTTTTTCACTGTTTGCGCGTGCGTGCACTTTTGGGTTGTTGTTTTTGTTTTTTTGCCTCTTGCTCAAAGCAGCTTCCAGCAGCAAGCAATCATTGCCATTTCACCTTTGGATAAGTTAGCAGCTCCAAGGAGTAAGGTCCTCACTTCTGGAAAGCAAGGATCCCATTTCCTCAACTGCTCTGGTGAGTAGTTCCCTGGGCAAGCTTTGGCCCTCAGCCCAGGCCTTGGCCCGGATGGGAAAGGTGTGCCCCAAGGGTTCATCTGACGGGGGCTGTCACTCCAACTGCCTAGTTCCTTGGGTGGGTGCACCCCACTTGGCCACTTTGTCTGCAGATTGACTTGCCAGTCATCCCAAAACATCCCGAGCATTGCATCAGTGCTTTGGAGAATCTTCTCCAAAATGCCCTTCCAGGACCCTGCAGACCTGGTGTTCCTTTCTGGCGGTCTTTGGGCTTATCTTCAGAGGAAGCTGGAGCTCTCTATGGATAGTTTCTAGACATTCTGCAGCTCAACTAAAAGTGCTGAGTAAACTGATTGACTCTTTGTGTGGGACCAGGAAGTCACCCCTGTCCGGGTTCCAACTCTGGACCCATTGCCTGGTACAGGGAAGATGACAATAAAAGCCTCAAGACAGAGTAGGAAAGGGACAGTGGTGCAGCAGGACTACCACAGAAGGAGCCCCTGTGGTCTGCGGCATGTTCAATCTGCATTTAGACCCGTGGTGGGCCAGCGAGGCCTGATTCCCTTTGTTCCGAGGGCTGGGCCTTTGGAGAGAAATCTTCGTGACCAGAGCGCCAGAGATGAAGAAATTAACCGCTGCTCCCAAACCCTCTGTGTGAGCTTGTCGACCCTGCAAAATGCCATCACCACCAGCTCCTGCAGCCCTGCTGGTGGTTTACCACAACCGCACAGGAATCTTCCGGCCAAAACCCACATCCAGCTGCCCCGCTGCTCCTCCAAAGAACTGAAGGAGAATGGCTTCCAGTCTCTGTGTTTAATCCCACACGTTTCCAAGAAGATTGAGTATGAGAAAGTGGCAGACACAACACCAAGGCAGGTAAAATTCTTGAGGAACTGCCTACACACAACTCGCAGAGGTAGGTCAGGAAAACGCAAGAATCCCCTGCTGCCACACAGGCGTGAATGTCTGATTTTGCCACCACCTCTGAAACTGGGTTATCGAGTCACGGCTGAACACCTAGATCAAGAGAAAGAGACTGTGTTCCGTCGCATCAACTGTGCATTGCGGGGTAAGTTTCTGATCTCCCAGAACAGCAATGCTGTACAACCTTTCTGTTCTCCTTCCCTGCCTGCCTCAGGAACTGCTCCTCCACCTACTGTCCCCACAGTGCCCAGCAAAATGGCAGGGAAAAGGAAGTGCATAGTGGAGCAGGACACCCTGGGCCCTGGGGCCCTCCAGGCATCTGCTGCTGTGACCACTTCCATGCATCCTGGGTCTGGAAGGAAGAGCACCTCCGCTACCTGCCCCTCCTCCTCAGAAGCCCTTCCAGGCTCCTCCTCACACTCCATGGCCACAGCCTCAGGCTCCTCATTGACAGCTGTTCCATCTCTGGCTGCCTGTAAGGATGACCTCAGGAGTGCAACTCCTGTCATGCCTGGTCCTTCAGCTGGGGAGGCCATTCCCCACAGGAAGGGAAAGCGAAAATCCAACTGGGAGCCCCCTCTGTATGGGGAGAACCCAGGCCCTTTGAGTCCCAGGACCTCTGAAAGAGCAACAGCAAGTACTGGGTCTTCCTTCCTTGCCATCCCCAAGACTTCCAAAGTGGAGCCTCTACCCCCAGCAGGTGCAAGCTCTCTTGTTTCCTCGCAGAACCACTGTCCCACTGCAGATCCTGGTGTCCCATTCTTTTCCAGTCTTCCAAACACTGCCCCTGCCCAGGGTGACAGCCGCTCAGCCAGCACATCTGCAGCCTTGGCCACCCTGTCAGTGACTGACGTCTGGAACACCCCCCTGAAAAACACATCCCTGCCTCGGCCTCTCCTCCCAGAGCCTGCTGCTAGCTGCAGTTGGAGCTCCTTCCCCTCTGCGCAGGTGACTATGACACCTTCCAGTGGCAGCACAGCCTCAGCCAGGGAAGCCTCCACCCTGCCAGCCCTGAGGTTCTTCCGCATGGCCACACACGAGAAAAATCCTATTGAGTCTGCATCCAGCAACCAGCTCACATTGGGGGCCACTGATGGGCAGCAGCACGGACACACACCCCCTCCCGGCATGCTCCATTTTGGAGACCTGAAAGCTATAACTCTGGGCCCAACCTCTACTTCAGGCCAGCTAGTATTGAGTAGTACAACACAGGCAGCCCCTGGGGGTTCTTTACATACAAATATGACCTCAGGGACTGGTGCCAGCAATCAGATGGTCTCCAGTGTCACCCAGAGTCTTTCCTCTCCTGGTACATCCATTGCCTCTGCCTCTGCCACCACCATGGGGATCCATGACCTTGTCCAGCTGGTTTCCAGTGTCATCCAATGTCTTTCCTCTTCTGGTATATCCATTGCCTCTGCCTCTCCAATAGCCACCCATATGCCCAATGCTATGACCCACATTCAGGATAACAGGCAGCTCCAGTCAACACTGGTTAACAGAAGCCCGGACACAGGGACACTGGCAGTTTCAGCAACACCAAATGGCTCTGAGAGGAAAGAGTTGCCCGCAGACTTTATAAGCTCCTTTGAGGCACTGACCATCTCTTCAACAAAAAGAGGGACCTCAAGTACCACACGTCACTATGGAGGAAGCATGGGCCTCAGCACTGGAGGCCCCGCTAGCCACAGCAGCCTTGTGGTGTCTATGGGACCCAGCACTATGAAAAACTCTGTGCATGGAGACCACAGGGCCCCTGTTTTGAGTTCTGTTCCTACAAGCCCACTGAAGCAGAAGCGCTCAAATTCATCTGGGGAACCCAGTGACATGACAAGCAAGGCTGCTTCAAAGTGCAAACCCAAGCCAGCCTCTAAGTTTGGCATCCGGGCCACTCATGAGGCCAAAGTCAGGAGGAAGCTTGTCTTTAGGGCCACCTCATCATCTGCCCAGGCCTCTGGACTCACGACTCCTGCAGCAGCCACTGAATCCTCCTCCTGCAGCTCAGAACCCACTGTAGATTCCAAGAGGCCAAAGATGCCCTGAGAGAACATCCAGTTCTACCAGGATGTATGTCATGTGAGCCCTGTTTACCTGACAAACACAAATCATGTGCTGACCTCTTTGATCCCGGCAAACTGGGGGTTCAGAAAAGCAGCCTTACATTCCAACCCTCTTCCCTGCAGCTTTGTCCTCAAGGCCATTGAGGATGAGGCTGAGCTTCTACTTGTGGTCAGTGGTCAGTCCTCCCGACCACAGACAGAAGCTGTTGCTCTCTGGATGAGACTTATACTCTGAGCTAATTAACCATGTTTTTTTCTGACTTGGACGTGTTCTTTTCTAAGTCATTCTTTCCTTCAGATTATCTTAAATTCCAGCATGCCTGGTCTGGTGGATAAACATACTATGGTGAATTGCAAAATTTCCCCTTACTGGAGAAGACTTTCTTGTTGGCAGCAAGAATGATGAAACAGACATGACTCACATTCTTATATTATTTTGCAACTACAGTTGCAAGTTTCCTTATCAGAGATAAGGAAAATGGCACATAATGCCATATGCTCAGTTTTTATGCTTTAAAACAGCCAGGACTCTTCTAAATATGACACTAAACATACGGTGGAAAGACTTCAGGCACCGCAGGAGAGACCTCTGCTGGATGACAATAGAGATGCCAAAGAAGAAGAGAGGAAGCTGCTAACAGCTTTAAACCCCACATCTCCTCCTGATCCTACCGGGGCTCTCTTCCCCTCATTTGACTGTCCCTCCAGTCCCTGGAGCTGCCAACGCATCAGGAAAAATAGCCCTTGCTCAATATGATGGTGAATCTGAAATGGTCTTCTCCTTTAAGACCAGTCAGGATACTGAATTTGTCCAGGGAATCTACCCCAGTAGAGCAAGGCTATTCTCCATAAAACAATATTCAATGGGAGGCAAATGCTAAATTCCCAAAGTCAGCCTATATGCCATGGCTGAACCTAAATTCACTTTTGACTTGTGGTTTGCTAAATTGAAAATCTCTAACCTTCCTCACTATGATGGTCCTCAGAAGGTGTGGGGGGGGGGGAATTTTCTAGCATCTTTGCCACCCACCACCCACTAGGGCAGATAAACAGGCTTTGCTTCGGATAAGGTTTACTGGGGAAAAGGAGTATCTTATCTTAAATAAGGCTCATGAGGAGTCTCAGATCTGTCATACCAGGCAGAAGTCCTCAATAGTCTGATCCAGAAGGAGCAATGCCACTGGTGGAACCAAACTGGAATCCACAGGAAAAGGACAGCAAGATCCTACTGGGCTGTGACCAGAAGTATATCCTGGGAAGAATCAGGTGAGTACTCAAAATTAGCTTAAACAACATAAAAAAGCTACAGGAAGGGGTGCTGAAGACCCTTCTGTGTGGCTAGAAAAGAATATATCAGACTTAGAGTGTGACGGTGCATGCCTGTAACTCTGCCACTTGGGAGGCTAAGACAGAAGGATTGTTGGGAGTTTAAGGCAGTCTCAAAAGATCAAATAATCAATCAAACAGTTGCACTTATGATATCTTAAATTCAAACCAGAACCCCCCCAAAATGTAGAAATAGTCAATATAACCTTTCCTGGACAAAATTCAAATGACATCAGGTACAAATTTCAAAAAACTGAAGGAGCCATGTGGGTAAACCACTCTTGGTTGGTGGAGACAACTTATAAAATCTGTAATGACCATAAATTTAAAAATAGGCCACCATTTTCATTGGAACAGACTACTATCATCATCTGAAACATTTTAGTCTGGCATTTTAGAGCTACAGGGTTAACCCAAGAAAGAACACAGACATTAGGAAAGAACCGTTGTGTGTAGTAGAATGAGAATGGCCAGTGGAAGAAAACCTGAACCAAACCCTTCACTTAAATGAATGGTTCAGTGAAGAGTCAAAACATCAGATTGCAAAAGTTGATGATGACTTTAAGCAGGACTGAGGGGGTCTTGGGTCTCCCATGACCATCTTGGCTCCACTCATGATCTCTCTCTAAGAGCCCCAGGTAAAAGTAACTGTGGAACCAATCCACACTGAATCTACATATTTATCGCTAATGTCCTCACTGATAAAGAGTCTAATTGGATTGTTCCTATTGCAGGAGTATTCCCAGGAACACTTTCCTGTAGCCTCTGACATGCACCTCAGGAGCCCTGTATTTAACTCACAGTGTTCTCAATGGACCTTAATGTCTGGTTCCATTCCTTGGGCGGGACTTGCTATGCAAAGTAAATGTTCAGTGGATTAGTTATTTTTCTCTTGTTGCTGAGACAAAATATCCAACACCCACAAGTTAAGGAAAGAAAGGATTATTTAGCTCACAGTTTGTAGAGGTTTCAATCTATAATCAGCTGCCTCCAAGGCAGAGTAGTGCAGCAGATAGGCGTCACAGAGGACAAACAGTTCATAGCAGGCAGAAGGTAGCAAAGCAAAAAGGACAACCACAACCTTTTCTATCTCTTATATCTTAACCAGGCTACTTAGGGTGGGTAGCACTTATACTTTTAATCCTAGTGCCCTTGATCCTAGCATTGCACCATGAATCAATTCCAGTGTCACACACTCTAGATCCATCCACCTCTGAAAAAGCCACACCAGTGACTGCATGAGGCTTTGGAGGGTTATCTAGACCCAAGCCATTACACTCAGGTAACCTTCTTCCCAGAAAAGCATGGGATACAAGTGCATGTAGCACCCTCCAGCTGATGTTGATCCTGGAGAAACCATCCCAAAGGTTGAGGGTGAACCAATGGGCTAGTCAAACAGGTTGGGCTGATGGGATTCCACATAAAGCTAAAAAAAAAAAAAAATCCTGCCCATCAAAGTCTTCTTCAGAAGTAAGTGTACCAATTCCCTCTGTAACCATTACCCCTTATGAGGCCAGGAACTTGATAAAATTGAACTTATATTCTAAAAGTTTTAAAATGTGACTTAAACCAGCCCGTTCAGTCACCTAATAATTTTCCCTTTCTGCCAGGAAAAGAAAAACAAAAAACCCTGATTGGAAGCATATTGCTTTGTTTAGGATTTACAGGCTATTAGTGAAAATGTCCAGACATTCGATCTATAATGCCTAATGCCTAACCTTTGTAAGCCTTTTGAATGCACAATGCATGCAGTTTACTGTCCTTGATTTAAAGTGCCTGTCGCTTTTCAGTGGACAATAACTGAATCAAAAAGAACCTTCCTACCGTTGGATAAGGCTTTCCCAAGGACTGAAGAATTTTCTGATGTCTTATGGAAAAACAGTGGCCAAAGTTTTGAGACTGTTACAAGTTAATCAGGTAACTCTATTACAATATAGAACCCCTGTTAGTTCAGTGGTATATTGTTTAATTACCATGTTTGGTTTGATTTCTATAGTTTTTCTTGCTGTTCACTTCTATTTCATTCCAGTGTGATCTGATAACATAAAAGAAGTTATTGCAATTTTTAAAAAATGTTTTAGGAATTCTTTGTAGAATAAGATATGAAGTGTATTGAAAAAAGTTCCATGTCTTATGAAAAGAACATGCATTAGATAGCTGTTAGTTAAAATATTCTCTAAATGCCTGTTAAGAGCTTTTCCTTTCTGGTATATCTTTGCTGTTTGCTTTTTTCACATGACGTATCTTCTGGTGAGAATAAGGTATTACAGTCACCCACTTATATTGTACCAGGCCCCATCTCTCCAAGTATATGTAGTAGGCTTTGTTTTATAAAATTTGGTACTCTAACATTCAGTGGATGTATATTTGTAACGATTATATTTTCTTGAGTAATTGTTCCCTTCACCACTATGAAGTGACCTTCTTAGAGTATTTGAATTGGTTTTGGGTTAAAGTCTATTTTGTCAGATAAAAGTAGAGCTAGTCTTGCTTGTTTCCAGATTACATCTACTTGGAGTATTTGTTTTTTCTTTGCTTGTCCTTTCTGTTTCTGTCTTTGCAGGTGACATAAGTTTTGTGCAGGCAGCATATTGTTCCGTCTTCTGCTTTAATACAATTTGTCTGCATTTTTAGTTGGAAAATTAAGACCACTCACATTCAGGGTTATTATTGAAATGCATGCAATTGATCTTCTCAGTTTGTTTATTATTTGGTGGGTTTGAAAATTCTGTGTACATTTCTTTCTGTTGTATTCATCTTAGACATGTAGAAGTTTATAATATTTAGATATTGGACTCTTTCCTATTTCTCATTTGTGTGTTGACTCCCCACTGAGATTTCTTCCTTCCTGTATTCTGATGATTGTGTTAATCTTTCTTTCTCTAAAGTAGGACTCCCTTAAGTATTTCTGTAATGATAGTCTAGTGATCATAAATTCCTTTAGTTTATATGTATTTTGGAAAGAAGGACAACTTTCTGGATTCAATAATCTTGATTGGCATTTACTTTCAGGACTTGAAATGCACCATGCCATATGGTGTTAGTTTTTGGAGTTTCTGATGAGAACTCTCTTGTTATCTTGATGTGTTTGCCTTTAAAAATGTATTAAGGAGCTTCTCTGTTGCAGCTTTTAATACTTTTTTCTTTGTCTTGTACATTTTAAATATGAAATGCTGTAGAGAGGTTCACTTCTGATCTAGGTAGGATCCTAACTGCCCCTGTACCTGGGTGTTGATATAATTTTAGGCTATTATTTCACTGAATAGGTTTGCTATGCCTGAGCACAAAGTTCTTCTTTGTGGGTATTTGAACTCACCGTGGTGTTCCCAAGATCTTGTTTATTCTCCTCATTTTTCTTTCTTGCTAATCGAATGTACTATTTTTATAAAGTTTTCCTAAAGCTCCAACATTCTTTCTTCTGCCTCATTTAGTTACTCCTCTGGCATCCAAGAGTCCAAAGCTGTCTTGAAAGAATATTCACTTCTTCCCGGGGTGTATCTCCTGTGAGTCCTGCATACATGTCAACCACAAATTTTGCTCTGATCTCTGTGACCCTGGGAAAGATTGGAGGTTCAGGAAAGCAGAACCTTGTTGCAATCTCCTGCCCTGCAACTTTGTTCTCAAAGGTGGGGAGGATGAGGCTGTGGTCCTAGTTGGTGTCAGTGGCCAGAGTCCTCACAACCACAGACATAGGCCCATGGTTGTTGCCCCTGAATGAGGACTCAAACCCCTATGTAACTGACTCCATTTTGTCTGAATCAGGCTTGATTTTTTCTGAGTCATTTCTCCCCAGATTATCTTAAAGTCCAGCATCACTGATCTGTTGGATAAACACAATGTGATGAAATTCAAAAGCACCCCTCCCCAAGTAGTGGAGGATTTCTAGCTGCTGACAAAGGAGAATGATGAACCAGACTTAACCCAAATTCTTTTTTTTTTTTTTTTTGGTACTGGGGATCGAACTCAGGACCTTGCACTTGCAAGGCAGGTGGTGGAACCACTGAGCTAAATCCCCGGCCCCCAAACTCTTACACTTTGTTGCAACTAGAATTATTTTATCAAAGATAAAGAAAATGGCAGGTAATACCATCTTTTTGATGTTTGATGCTTTAAAATAAACAAGACTCTTCTATATGAGATTAAACATATGATGGGAAGACTGCAGGCACCAAAGTAGAGATCTCTGCTGGACAACAGAGATGTGAAAGGGCAGAGGGATGTTATTAACAGCTTTAAACCTCAAATCTTTCCCTGATCCCAACAGGGCCTCCATTCCCCTCACGTGGGCCTTCCTCCAGTCCCTGGAGCTGCTGGAACATCAGAATAAAAAGTCCCTTCCCAGTATGATGGTGAGTCAGAAATGATCTCCTCTTTAAAGACCCATCCAGGCACTCACTCAATTTGGCCAGGGCATTGACCCCAGAAGAGCTGGGCAATTCTCACTAGGACAATATCCCATGAGAGGTGTGGGTTAAATTCTCAAGTCATCCAATAGGTTATTTCTGAACCTAATCCCAGTTTTGAGTTGTGATCTGCTGAATTGAAAAATCTGTAACCCTTCTCACTATGATGATCCTCAGAAAGTGGGGGAAATCTTTTCTAGCATCTTTGCCACCTACCACCCCCTAGAACAGGTGAACAGGCCTTGCTTCATGTAAGTTTAGCTGATGAAGAGGAGTGTCTGGTCTAAAATAAAGTTCATGAAGGGTCTCAGATCTCTCATATCAGGTTAGTGTCCTTAACAATCAAATTTATAAGGATCAATACCTTAGATGGAACCAATCTGAAATCTATATGAATAAGACAACAAGACCAGACTGAGCATCCTAGGAGGACTCAGGTGAATACACAAAATGAGCTTAAACAAAATAAATCAGCTAAAAATAAATAAATAAGTCAGCTACAGGATAGAGTACTGAAGACATTTCTGCATGACTAGAAAAGGGTATAACAAACTTTCAATACATTCACTTAGGCTGAGAGGACCTTGAGGATGTAGGGATAGTCAATTTGACCTTTACTGGACAAATTCAGATGGCAGGCATCAGGTACAAATTTTTAAAAAAACCCAAAGGAGCCTTGGGGATGAACTCTATGGTGAACACAGCCTATAAGATCCATAATGAGTAGGAAATTTAAAAATAGGCCACCATTTTCATTGAAACAGACTACAATCATCATCCAAAAGATTCAAGCCTGGGATTGTGGAGCTATGAGATCTACCCAAGATGGAACAAGGACTTTAGCAAAGGGCCAATGTGTATAGTGAAATGAAATGGACAATGTAAGAAAAACTGAACCAATCCCTTCAATAAAAGGAATGGCTCAGTGAAGAGTCAAAACATCAGATTGCAGAAGTTGATGGTGGTGGGCTGGGGATTTAGCTCAGTGGTTCTGCCACCTGCCTTGCAAGAGCAAGGACCCAAGTTCGATCCCCGGTACCAAAAACCAAAATCAAAACAAAAGTTGATGGTGGCTTTACTCAGGACAAAGGGAACCTTGGGTCTGCCATGACCATCTTGGCTCCAATCATTATCTCTCCCCAAGAGCCATAGGTAAAAGTCACAGTGTGGAACAAATCAATACTGAATCTACATATTTATTCCTAATGTCTTTGCTGATAAAGAATCTAATTGGATTATTCCTATTTCAGGAGTATGAGGAAAGCCTAGAAACAGGCTTTCCTGCAGCCTCTGCCATGGAGCTTAAGAACCTACTATTAGGCTTTCTATATGAAACCAATGTCTGGTTCCACCCTAGGCAAGGACTTGCTATACCAACTAAATGATCAGGTAATGTTTTTCCAAGAAAAGCTGGGGATGCAAGTGGCAGGCAAATCCCCTCCAATTGATGTTGATCAAGGAGAAGCCATTTGAGTGTGAGGATATACCCAGTGGGATGAGCCAATGCATTAATCAAGCAAATTAGTCTGATGGGGTTCCGGAGGAAGCTTAAAAAAATGCCCTGCCTGTTAAGGTCTTATGAAAAAAAAAATGGTGCACCAATTTCCTCTATAAACAATACCCTTAATGAAGTGAGGCACTCAAAAGAATTAAACTTATACTTCAAATCTTAATGTTTCTACTGAACCAGGAGACTACTAATATATGAAATGATTGTTAGTTCAATAGTGTATTGTTTAATCACCATGTGTTTGGCATAATTTCTGTAGATTCTCTCTTCTGATTGATTTCTCTTTCATTTTATTATGATCTGGTACAATGTAAGAAATTATTTCATTTTTTAACATGTTAGTAATTGCTTTGTGGACTAATACATGATCTGCTTTGGAAAAAGTTCCATGTACTGATGAAAAGAATGTGTGTCATGCAGCTGTTGAATGATATATTCTGTAGGTGTCTGTTAAGTCTTTTGGCTATATAGTGCCATTCCATTCTGGTGTTTCATTGCTTGTTTTCCCTTTGGATGATCTACCTATTTGTGACATTGGGGTCTTCAAATCATGCAATATTATTATAATGAGCTCTATCTCTCAATTGTAGTACTGTTTGTTTTGTAAAAATGGGTGCTCTAACATTCAGTGCATGTCTATTTGTATCTGTAATAGCTTCTAGGTGAATTATTTCTTTCATCACTGTGTATTGGCTTTCGTAGTGTCTTCTAATTGATTTTGAGTTAAAATCTGTTTGGTGAGATGTAAGTGTAGCTAGTCTTGCATGCTTTCAGATTTCATCTGCTGGGAGTAACTTTTTCCATCCTTTGCCTTTCAGTTTGTACATCTGTCTATGGGACATAAATCTCCTGTAGCCAGCATATTATTCTGTCTTATGTTTTAATGCAATCAGCCATTCTGTATTTTTAATTGGAGAATTAAGAGCACTCACGTTCAGGATTTTTATTGAAATGCATGCAGTTGATCCTCTCATTTTGTTTATTTTTGTTTGGTTGTTTTGAGTA